TCTATATCTACACATACAAATACAATATTACGCAAAAGTTTATTCTAGACTCTATTCTAATTTTATTGTAAAAATTCTATTGACACAATATTGTAATATTGTGCAAAAATTCAAGATAAAAAAAAAAAATAGGCCAATCGATCGCCAATCGCTAATAAGTTAAACAACGGTGGAAAATGAGAAAAAAGAAGAAAAAAAGAAAAAAGAAACCGGAGAAAGGGAGTGAAAACACAAGGGAGAAGAGGAAGACGAACAAGGTGGAGGTAGGAAGGTGGTGTCGGTCCCCATCGAGAAAGACCGAGGTCATAGGACTTACGTGTGTACGTGACCGGCAAAGAGCTCGGTTTTCCATTTAGATGAGGCGAGTAGCTGTTCTGCCTCTTACTGGCGTCCGCCTCGGGGGCGTAATCGAACATGGCCAAAAAACCGCACAGGAGGAAGCCCTCGATAAAGAGGAGCACGATCGCGTGCGATAGGCTGCTCCTCGTCGTCATCTCTCCCTCTCCTTTCACCCTCGCTCGCTTGAGAGAAAGCTTTTCTTCACGGGGAAATACCGGCCGCGAAATTACCAACGGGTTCTCTCTCTCTCTCTCTCTCTCTCTTTCTGGCGGTACCCAGGGGGTGATTTTTCCTTTTCGTGCGGCCTCGTCACCTGCCACAGTCTTCGTTTAAGCGTTCCCCGTTTCTATGAATCGAATCGCCGTTCCACTTCACTCGTTCAACATCTCCTGGGAGTTATTGCGCCGATGGTATTATATCGAGCTTTTCCTCAGTTTTCGATCTTTCCTGTGGGTGTTGGACGATGGGTCGAAAGGTCAGGTTGGACGTTTGGCTGGACGCTTGATTAGGATACGGAGGGAGGCAATCCCGGTGATTGAAACTGGGAGTTTAATTAATCCTTTTGAAGGATGAGATTTTGTTGTTTCTTCGTGATTTTGGAGTTTTTTTTATTTCTCGGTGGGTTGTTTTGTCACTTGAATCATATCGCTTTAATGGGTTTCAGAGAGAAAGTTTCAGACTACTTTAAAACAATTTAGAGTAGAATTATGTTCAAAATTCATTTCGAGATTCACGTTATTTCGTTTCTCTATTTTACTGTAATTAAAATTCCAGATTATTTGTTACGAGACATAGTCACAGACGTCTTCGGCGTCTTTAAGATTTCTTAAATTCACTTTAACCAATTTAATAAATCACACCGAAAACTTCAAACAAAAGCTTTTCTAAAACAGGAAAACACAAAATTCCTCCTAATAAAATCTCAGCCGACAGTGAAATCCAATAGTTAAAAGGACTGAAAAAACGCTTCTTCTCCGTCTCAAAAAAAAAAAAGAGAGAAAAAGAAAAGGAGGGGAAGGAGAAAGGCAAAGAAAGGAAGACGCGAGAGGTGTATCGATTCCGCGCGAGAATAAAGGGAAACAAACCTATTGGAACCGGGAATCCGCTTCTTCTCTCCCTTCGTTAACGCACGTCGAATCGGTTTAACCGCCGATTTTCGTTGCAAGATCGAAGGACCGTTGGGTAACCGACCGGCTCCTCTCTCTGTTCGCTGTTTATCGGAATTCTATCTGGTAACTCGTACGACACTCGATCCGTGGCGGATCCGCGTGGCTTCTGGCGTGGCAGATCGTGCATATTCGAGCCGACGGCTGGCTCGAACCGACCCGAGTCTTTTGAATAAACTCGATAAACATCGGTGCTTGCTCCTCGAAGAATGAAGGGGAAACAGACCTCTCGATCTTTGACCTCTTCGCTCTCGTTTAAAACGTACGTGTACGTACGTATGTATGCGCGGGTTTGTGTGCCGCGAAATTATACCGGCGACCGACTAAACATTCTAATGAATTCAATTCTGGGAGAAAAACGCGAGTCTCGCCTGGTTTTCACTCGATTGCGAGGTCTCGAGTGTATTTGTTGTTTAATACGGAATGGAGAATGATTGCCTGGCTCGATATTCGCGATATTCTGTTACATAAGACCCACGTACGCTTGAACGTGTCGTTGCGGTGTATTCAACGATCTAGGTTCTGCGTCGAGGCGTGGCCTCTCTCTCGCCGAGTGGCTGAATTAATTATCATTCGCGAAATTTTACGTGTTCGCCAGGCAACAGAAGTTGACTTTGCGGGATATTTTGAAGTTTGAAATTGCAGAGGAGCTACGTGATACGAAAGAACGTGCAAAATATCCGAGACACAGTATCCTTCGTGTTCCAATAAAACACAGCTTTTTAGTTCTGAAATTCGTTAACGTGAGATTCTATTTATGGCTATTTATGGCTAGAATCTTTTTCAACGTTCGAACTTCACATCAGAGAATAATTTAATTTTAATAAAATTTGATATAGAGTTTCAATCTGCCTTTAGAAATATCCTTCTTACGTAGTGGACGAAGACTTCTGACGTATATTCCAAGTATGTTTCAAAAATAGAAGGAGAGGAAAGCAATTTATCCAGCCATTCTTCGTTCTAGAATGAAAAATACGAAACGAACCGTAATTTTTGTTGTTTATGAGAGCGAGGAGAGTTTCGATTATAAACTGGCGGACATGTAAATCCCCCCGTTTCGCGCGTTTCGTCTCGCGTGAAAGCAAGTCGTGGAAAGTTCCCGGTAGTCACCAGGCCGTTCTTCGCCGGATAACGCCAACGCGGTTGTTAACTTCCGGCCGTGCTTATGTTTTGGGGACGTGGCCTCCAATTAAACGGCCTCCGCTGCTGCGCCACTACTCGCGAATTCTGTTATTTCGCGGCGCGGGTCGGTCTCGTCGTTGTTGCGTCTCCTATTATTTCCACGAGTGAATATGTTTCGGATATTCTCTTGTTAGACTCTTGTTTTGTCCGGTGTCTTTTCGTGTTTAATGCAGCGAGTATTAAACCATTTTGGATTGAAACTTGATGAAAAAATGCACTTCCGCGCATTTCGTGGAAAATTCAGGAACGCAGAAAGCACGCACAACGTGTGGGAATATTTGTTATAATACTTAACACGAGGAAAACAGTTTCTTTAATTGCGTAAAAATTGCATAAAGGTTCCCAGTGTATTTGTCACATTGTGAAAAAAAAAAAGAATTATCTTCGAAACACAAATTTCGAAGATGAATCAGGATGGATTTTATGAAAATAGTGAAAATCTCTTTATTTCAAATATTTGCATTTTTCTAAACGAAGACACGCTAGAAATTTTTAAATAATTCACAACTATTTCATCAATCAAATCATCATTGATATTTTAATCGTTGATATTTGCCACGAAGTGTACATATACGAAGTGTATATATATAGACGAACACATAAAATTTTATATTTTGAGGAATTTCGATGATCTTTGGCGTTGATTAAAAAATTCCACTGATATATTATATATGCCGAATTTCGACGTCGAAATCCTTCCTCGTCGGGCTGATTCTCATTTCGCATCGAAAATCCATCAGGCGAGTTATATCTTCGATGAAATTATTCTCACGAGGGTATTAGCTATAGAATCAACGTGACGTTATTCAAATTCCACAAGTGACGAAGTAAATGGACAAATTCACGTGGATTATTCGGACAAACAATTAACCTCGCACAAACGTTCCAGAATAAAAGAGTAAATTAAATTACGGTCGAATCACGGTAGCTCGAAATAACTCGACACACTTTTCTCCTAATACGAATATCCTCTTCGTTCAGTGAAGATTCGTTTCAGTTTTTAGATTTTTCTCACTTTGGGATATTTTATACATTTTTGCACGTTGTGAACATCCTGTATATTTTCTGTATTATTATATAAAAGAACACGAATGTAATTAGTACGAATAAATTATATATTGTCAATTTTGGATAATTCAAAGGTACAGTCTCGAGTCTTGACAATTATATGTTAATATAATAACACGAAATTTTCTTTACTCCTCTTTGCTTCGTTGTGAAAATCTTCACGACTTGAAATCTAAATTTCTGTTAGCACGAATCATTTGCCACAAGTTGAAGTTTATTTTTACACACCAAACCAATCGATTGAATTATTATCGAATATTATATTATTACCAAAGAGATTAAAGGAATAATTTAATGAATATTTCTTCTAATCTTCTCTCGTCGAGTAAAATGAGAAAGCGGAGAAAAACTTTCTCAATGTTCGTTCACGAAGCTTCTACAATTGAATTTCCGTTTGTTAATCCTCTCTTACTCGAAAACTCGATGAGATTTTTTTCGCTTGCCAAAGTTTGATCGTAACAGACCTCGTGGAGGAAATTTAAGTAGATTTATTATTCGGTAGAGAGTCATTTTGTTCGGTCGATATTGAGATTTTCGACATGTTAGTCACGTTTTTAATATTTGCAAGAAACAGTTGCTTAAATTACTGCTTGTTTTAATTTAAGCGAAGAGTTATTGTTATGGAGATAATGTTTAGTAATTTTACGCAAGAATCTCCTGCTGCAATAAATTATTATCATGCAGTTGGGTAAATTAAATTTTGCAAATAAAGCACGTAAATTCCAACAATCGTTTAAGAAGCTTTTCTTCGTTATACTTCTGATTTTATGCAAATTATGAAAATTGTAAAGAATTGGTTAAAACTCTGGAACGGAAATTCTAACATTCAACATCAAATAATACGATCTAAGTACATCTTAGCTTTTTTAAAATCCTCTCTTACGAAAGCCAGAAACAGATTTTCCTTTTAATTTTCATAATTATTTCTGAATAACAATCACGTTGGGATTGATCACAGTCTTTGCCACGATATAAAAAAAAAAAAAAAGAAAAAAAGAAAACACGAAACGGAAATTTTATGGTACGAAGGAGTTTGTGACGCAAAGCTAACTGACGCTCTGCATATTCCAAAGTATGGCGGTGCACAGAGGTCGAGGATCCCTCGTAAACCCTGAACTTGATACAGGGTTCTCGACTCTCAAAGTTAAGTCAGAGGTTCAGGCAAAGACAGACTTCTCCGGGATTCATTTCTCACGAGGGCGCGAATATAAATATGGAATTAAGTAAATTCGTTCGGATACTCACTCGGATAAACTCGTAATGGGTCCGTATCCGGCTCCTTGACATGTTTCCGGCCGTGGTCGCCTGAAAGTTTAATTATTCCTTCAGTTGTACGCACGTCCTGAACGTTGGGAAAATTTTATGGGTGTCTGCGAGCGCTGGGATGGCACTGTTTTCTTTTCTCGTTACGTTTTCCCTTCTTCGCGAAGAAACGAAGAAACGTTTCTTTTGTTCCTTTGATGCCTCCGAGCATTGCGACGAATACGTAATTGTTCGCGAATGAATTCGAAAGCATCTAGACTTTTTATGGATGCATTATGCGTGCTATGTAAATAGACTCGATTGAAAACGATCAAGTTTGAAAATATATGTAGAAATTGTAAGGTGTTTAGTAAAATTAATATTTTGTATAGATATTTAAACTTAAACGAATCTTGATTTCACGTTACATATGGAATGATGTTTAACAATAGCAATGGATATTATAATATACCTATCTATTTTAGAATAAAAAGAAAATTTGCTACAAAAGTTGCCAATTCTCTACCTATATAAATATATATGTATTTTTTTCTTTATTCACCAGTGTATATACATATATTTTTCAGATTGGTCCCAAATTTTGCCAACACAATAACATTTTAACAATATAACATAAAATATATTTAACATATATATATTTAATATATTTTATATTAAATATATATATATTTAACAATATAACATAACATATCTAACAACATAAAAATATATTTACGTTAACCATATACTTTATATTAAATATATTTCAATATTTGTAGATTGGTTTGAAATTTTATCGAAATAATAACAAGTTTTTCTTTGAATATATATTAAAAAGACTATTAAAGTGTAAGCAGCTGGTAAGGTAAAACTCTGAAACAAAGTGTAACGAGAGAAAAATTTGGCAACTTTGGTAAAATTCCGGTAACTCTAGTAAAATTTGTTAATTTTTAATCTAAACGACTTTTCTTCGTAAACTAGAAAAGCCGCGGACACGTAGAGTAATTAAATACAAACAGTAATACGCTTCTCCTTTATCTCGGTAAACGAAGAGGTAAAAGAATCGTGAGGAAAAAAAAACCGTAGTTCCTCCTTCTTTTCTTACCATCAGTTCACAGTTATCTCTAGGCAAATTACAATATCCAGCAGGTGAAATCAAACGGGAAGAAAGGAAAAGACAAACGGACAAGATCTAAGGAGCAAACAATTACTCATTCCGGAGACTGTCTGTTTCTTTTCTTTTTCTTTTTTTTTCTTTTTACTTCCTCCTCCTCTCTACTCTTTTATTCGGCCGCGAGTGAAATTGCAGCGTGTCAAGTCGCGATAAATTGGAAAAGGACGAGTCTCCTCGCGTTCTATTTTGGTTTCTATTCTAGTCGAATGGAAAAATTCGTTTCGAATCTCGTTTTAATGCTTGGTAACTCCGAAAAGATGACACAGCACATAATAGATTAAATAATTAGGTGATTTTAAATTAGATGATTGTAAATTGTTAGAACAATAACAATGTCAAAGTTTGTCGATGCTTTTACAACTTCGTGAAGAAAAAATCAACAAATTTTGAAGGATCTTTTTAAAGAAGAGACTTTAATCATCAATGTCGTGGTAGATTTAGTTGTGAAAAAAATTTCCAGCCTCCACATAAATATTCCAAAATTTCCGAGACAGAAGATTAAAAAAAAACTTTACTCATTCCCTTTCAAAATGATGTAAAAATATCTTTCAAATGAGCTCAGTATCGTTGTCCTATGATTTTTTTTCACGAGGTTATGATAGCTTAGAAACATCGACAATTTTTCCATAGCACTCTCAGATTCGATGAAAAGTTATTCCAAGTGATAAATCGCCATTTGTCATTAGACACAATAGCGAGCGTCATTACCAAAAAAATAGAAAACAAGGTTTTTCAAAAAGATTAACATACAATGACCACGGTGTAATTTTCGCGGCGTCGTCGTAATTTAGCGACAGTGTAATATCGTCGTTGGACGTGGTGATAAGTTGCACCATCGTCGCACGTACATTCCTTCGCGAGGCACATACAGACCTGTGTGATTTTTTAGTAAATTAGCGTCCGCCTCTGGCCCGTACGTCATCAACGCGCCCATTAGGACGATTAGGACGACTTGGACGAAGAATAGCTGGCATACTTGTTGCTTTTCACTCACGGAGAACATTCCCTGGCAACGAGAAAAGAAAAATGAAAGTTGAGCGCAGGTTGAATAAACGTTAATTATTGCAGATTGATTAGTTTAGTGTAGAGTAAGCAATATTTATAATATTGTATAAATTAGCAGCTTTGTCAGTTTAAATCATCTCGGAATCCAACGAAACGGAACTTGTGTAGTTAATTGATTTTCTGTGGTTTTTCTTCTAATTTTTTTGAATATTGATTTCTCAAGTCGAAACAATATTGAGTATTGATGGCTGAATAGATGGATTCAAAATTCTTGAAAATTATTCATTTTAAATAAATTAAAAAAAAGTTTGTTTTATATCGTAAGAATTTCTTTGGAAGTGAATTTTTAGTGGAAGAAATGACCGAGCAGTTTGAAGTGACAGTATTATCCTGTATATTTAATAAGGGAAATAAGCGATATTAGACTGGAAAAATTGATTGAATTTCAATTCCGTAAGTCGAGTCGGAATTCAGGTGTTTCTTACAATCAGCATTTTACTTTCGATATTTTACATATATTAGCCATAAATTTCTCATTTTGTGTTTTACATGTTATTTTTGCATCTTTTCAGTTTTCCATAATTGCACAAACATCGCTGATACTTATCACGGAATAGCGTTCCGTGCATATTCTGCACCTTTAAATTTTCCATGAGCGCGTAAACACTTTGCAGTTCCATTATCACACATTAATTCGGTGGTGTACATTAATTCGTTCCATAAAACAGTATACGTGTGATTGTTATTATAATAGCATACATTATATTTTTTCAAATCGTGGCGAATGCATCGCAACAGAGACTAATGTTATAATTTAAAGTTCATAATCACCAAGTTGAATCAATCTTGCATATTATGGCAGAAGATAATATTATTTATTATGTAATAGTTACGTATAGAGGATTTTAGTTAAATTGGTGGTTACATTAGTAAACGTGAACTGAATAATTAAATGGATTGATTAACCTTCTAATAACCATAATATTTGCATAGTGTATAAAGTGCCGGAAGCTTCGAATTTCATTTGTTCCAACAAATGAAGTTATAGTTTATTACTTTGGCCCTTTACTTCGATGTGAGATTTTAATTGTCTATAAATTAGGGGATTACATTCCATAAGTCACAGGGTGTTGCAGAGAATTAAAGATGGCAAATAGTGGCGGGATTGTTTGAAAGTAATTGGATGAATGCGTGGGTGATATAATTGTGAAGGTACGCTGGAAAATTGCAGACATATTTCATGAATTATATTGTGATTAATGGGTTCATTATGATTGTAATGCGACGGGGCGAGAGTTCGCCAAATGGCTGCAAGTACATTTCTATCTATCTGTGAAAAGTTTCGTGAGATATTCAAATTTTCATTTTTTTTTTTTATTGTCGATTAATCTTTTTGTGGAAAATTGACTAATTTTCACCTATATATCTTCAGAGTTAATTAATTTACAAAGTGCGAAACTTATAATGTTGCGCTGGATATTTTCAAAATTAACTCTCCCGAAAATGAAATATCATTTTGGCTAAATTTTATTAAAAAGATTATTTTTCGTTAATTCTTTTCAAGAAGAATAACCGTTAGAGCACATTCGAAGCGCTTTCAAAATTGATTTCTTCGAGAACGAAGCATTATTTTGAGTAAATTTTACTTAATTTTTTTTTTTTTTTTTTTTTAGAAAGAATAATATGCTGATAGATATTTGCAATATTATGTTTTTAGAATGAAATTTCTGAAGAACGAGGTTCTGTTTTAAACGAATTTCATTCTACACTTTCTATTGATTTTTTTCTCGATAAGAAACCTGCTTAATAATAATACGCTACACTACACTATTAATCAGAATCTGTTAGTGAAGTTTGCACGCGAGGTAGCAAATACATTCGCAACTTCTCGTAAACATATTTACACTATTATATTACCGTCAAATTAACTAACAAATAAGCAGAAATTTCAATGAGCAAATGCTCCATACACACGCGCGTATTGCAGTTGTGTAAACATAATTAGAAACACGAAATTCTCGTAAACGCATCTTCGAAATTGTCGCTAAATATACAACAGGTGATGAGAGGATGAAAAAGATTTTGAAATTTCATTGGTAATGATCAGACTGTGGAGCATTTCAATATATTCGTTCATTTCAATATTTTAATTGAAAGACTGAGATCCCGTTTCTCCACAAATATCTTTTTACCAAAGAAATTCAATTATTTGTACTTTGACATGGATAACTTCTTTCGGTAGTGTACGGGATGTCAATTTTAATCTACAAATGCGAATTAAACTACCCATAAAAAGAAAATCCATAAAACTTAAAAAAGAATCCATAGGTAGACAGAAAGCGAGGTTTCTCGAGGACAGACATGGTTTCTCGAGAGAATTAGAATTATTAGAATTAATGTAATTAGTTTCTCTCCGAAAAATCACACGAATAGTTGATATTTCTTTTCTCTTTTTCTCGAAAATGGAACTCGGTAATTTTTATGCATTGCATGATTTCGTAATGGATAATGAATCAAAGAAATAATGTCGATCAAAGAAAATTTGTTACTCAAGATGTTGGATTATCTAGTGAGATAGAATAATTCCGTAACGTGCATTAAGTTAAATAGTTCGAAAGATCGAATTCGAAGATGTCGAAGCTCGGGCGGGATTTTGTCTGATTTGACCAGGCGGAAAATCTGGAGTCAAAGCGGGATCCTCGATGAGATAACGGTCTGCTTGTACAGTGGTCGAGATTCGTTAATTTTATTCGTACTTGTCGCGCGTTTCTCGCTGCCAATTATCAGCGGGAAATCAGCGTTGCAAGATAAAACGACGAGAACCGATGAGAAAGTGATACCAACCGGCGCGGCTGGAATTTCCGCGCTTTAACCGTTGTATGATCTCATTAAACCCCGTAGCAACCTCTCTCTCTCTCTCTCTCTCTCTCTCTTTCTCAATCGCTTCCGCTTCGCGCACGCAATTTGCCTTACAAATATTATCTCTATAAACGATTAACAGATTTCCGAGTTTTTTCCTGTTCAAACCTCCGAACGATTGTGCTCGAATCGTACGATTTTCTTCCTCTTCCTTTTTTTTTTTTGTCTTCTCTCCCAAAGTAGCAGATCTTTAGCGTGGAATAGTCCACGAAACATGAAATATTTGTACTTTTGTGCGTGTAGTTATTCGGTGTGTTATAATTAATATTTCGAAATTTTATTAATATAATTAATATAATATTAATATAATTTTATATATATTTTATATATATTAATATAATATTAACATAATTTTATTAATATAATCGTATTCTCTTCTGAGAGACGAGGTTGTTGTATTTGGTGAAATTTGGAACCAGTCTGAAAATGTATATAGAAATGTTTATTATGTCGTATATAGGACCAATGTGGATTAATACTTTTTTAATTAGAATTTAATATTCTTTTGATTTATGATGAGTGAAATATATAGTTTAATTTAAAAAAAATGGAGCTTGAAAATTTCGAAATCCCTCAACACACACACAAAAAATTGATACGCCACACTTTACCTCCTTTAAAATCATAAAAATATTTTGTATTAAACAATTTTTTATTAGACACAATTTAAAAGTTATTTCAGGTGTGCAAATTACGCGAATTACCTTGTGTGTGTGTACACAAACACACAGATACACACAAGGTGATTCACGTAACTTGCACACTTGAAATAACTTTTAAATTGTGTCTAATGAAAAATTTTATATATATATAAAAATGAAATAAAAAATTAATATACAGCATAAACAGTTATTTTAAGCTGAATAATATTATAAATGTTAGAAGAGATTCTACAGAATATTAATGAATAATTTCTGTTTAAATAAAAATCTTGTGATCTACATGTGATACATCTATAATACGTATTTGCATTAAATACCTTGCGATTTCTGTAATTTTTAGATTTCTCTCAAACTTGACTAGTATAATCACTATGATCTCGTGTCTTACTATAGTGATGAAATAACACGTAACATACAGTGAGTTGAATTAAAACACAAGCAAATTGAACTTAAACTGAATTTAACTTCCCTTCGAAACATCTTCGTCATGTAATTTTTCACCTGTGTGCAGAATCGCCTGTACATGTGTATTGTACATTTTGAAAAAAGGAAACAGAAGAGAATTGATCAGTGAAGAGAGAATGAATCCAAAGCCATGCTGCATGCAATCATGTACCGAAAACAATTCGCATTCAGGTTTCACGATGAGACTTGAATGTCGTTGACAGTGACATCGTTCAGGCAATACCTTTCCCATTTTGATCTGGATAGCCTTATAACTTTCGCTTGGCCGTTGCAAAACCTTCCCTCACTGGCCGTCGATCATCTCGTGGTTCTCGCTGGACAGGCTTTCCTTTTTTTCTCTCCCTTTTTTTTTTTTTTTTTGTTGTTTCACGAGATCTCGTACTCGGCGGTGGAAACTGTTCGTCGAAGTGGAGCAGATCTTAATTCGAGCAACGATGACGGATAACTGCGCCGGGGCAAAGATCGATGCAACGACAACGACTGCAATGAGGATCGGAGCGCGAGATACTTTGATTATTTCAACGAATATTCGAGATTCGTGGCGGAATGGTTATCGTGTAATGAATTTTTTTTTTTAGATAGCCTGGAGAAAGAGTAGATCTCGCAACAGCGCGACTTGCATTTTTGCGAATCGAAGGAACAGAGTCCGAATTAAAAATTTGTTTCATTTGTCGAATATCGTGTTTCGTATATTTTCTGTGTACGTAGTGGAAATTTACATGCTTGTTTGTTGCATTGACATAACAAAAATTGTAAATCCGTTGTCTAGTTGTAATATTTACAACTTACATTTGAGATGTGTGTTTTCTATCTGAAATATATTTTTGAGATTTTGTCAATAATTTTTATCGTGCAGTAACTTGACACTAATTTTAGAAAAGGCACCTCGATTTTCATTTTGATACAAAGCACTCATTAAATATTTGGTTTATTTGGATATAATATTTATCATCCATCTCTAACACAGTTTGACAAAACGTACCAATTCACACGACGCTTAACTATTTAATAAAATTGCACTTGTTAATCAATTTTTAAAAGTCCAACGAGAATTTTCATTTTTAACACAAGTTTCGTTTCACCCATATCGATAGTTTATTTAAAGTACTGATCTCACAGCAACACGGCACAAGCACAAAAAAGAGAAAAAGAAAAGAAAGAGAAATATGCACCAAATCAAACTATTAATCCTCGTAGCCAATAAAACTATCCACTTCGTAAAACAAATTATACTTCTGTCCTAACGTAACGATCTAATACGTCCGTTTCCAATCGGCAAATCCATCAAAAATCTATATCCCAATAAAACACGACGAGCGACAGTTTCGCTATAGAACCGGACAGTTTATAGAAGAATCGCGCGCAACAGAGGAGAAAAAGTGTCTGTCGCGAAATCGGGGATCTACCATTCGCCCCGGTGCCGATATATATTGTTTATTCGTTTATACGATAGACGATCCAATTACATCGCGATTGATCCTGATTGGCCTCGTCATCTAAATCTCCCCAACGGATATACGCTATTCTCTTAATGCCGGCGCGTTCGACGTTGAAACGGTGTCGCGAGAAGCTAACACACACACAAACACACACACACACACACACACACACACGGTATTTTTCGACGAAGTGAATCTGCTCGACAGAGACGTTATTATTATCCAGCCATGCTCTGGGTTAATCGATATCTCGCACCGTTCGATGTACAAAAAGAGAAAAAAAAAAAAAAAAAAACGAAAAATAAAAAAAAGAAAGAATCGTCGAGCGGAACGTTCGCGCTTAATATTTCATCCGTCGACGACGTCTCGTTAGCGAGTGATTCCTCTCGAACACGCGTTATTTGTGCCTCGATTTGCAGTTACAGTGATTAATCGGCGCGCGGTGAGTCGCGGGAATTAGTTTTAATTTTGTTGTTTTCTTTTTCTTTTTCTCTTTCAACCGTGGAAGTTTGAAAGTTTGTGAGTCTGCGAAAATTTGAGGCGATTTTTCTTTTTTCTTTTGTTGGGATTCGAGTGTTTGGACAGATTTGGATTTTCTGATCTTGGGTGGTGTTCAGGTCTTTAGATCTTGGAGTCTTTAGATTTTTAGATTTCTAGGTTTTCTAGATTCTAGGATTTCTCAGATTTTTAAGGCTTTCAAGTCCTCGAATTTCTCGGATTATTGGATAGGTTCTCAGGTTCTTAAATTCTGAGATTCTTAGGCTCTCAAACTCTTAGGTTTCTAGATTTCTAGATTGTTCGTTTTTAAAATTCTCGGATTCTCAGACTCTCAGGCTTCTAGATTCTGAAATTTTCGATTCTGAAATTCTCAGATTCTTAGATACTCACAATCAGATTTTTAGATTCTTCGTACTTGGATTCTCACATGTTTAGAGTCATAGACTCTCAGAATTTTAGATTCTTAGTAGAGGTGTGCGAGAACCCGAAATATCGGGTCGAGTCGGGAATATGAAATTTTTTCGGGATCGGGACGGGTATTAGAAAATTTCGAGATTCTCAAAAGAGTTGGGATTGGGAAAGGAAACAAGCTTAAATAATTGGAAACAAGCTTAAATAATTCATTAAAGCCCACGTCTTCAACTGTATCGAAAGGTCGCAGATCTAGAACCATCATTTGAGCATTTTCTTCTGTTATATCTTTCGGTTTAACAATCTTTCGCGTATCATTTTCTACATGCGACAAATTTTATATCGATTCAATTTCTTTTCTAGTACATATACTAATGTTTTGGATATATATGCTTCAAACGGCGTAATAAACCAATAGTATTTGCATACTTAGTTTTAAATTCATGTTGACAATGCGTGCATTCCGCCTTTGTATCATCTTTTTCTTGAAAATGTTTCCAAAGCTTCTTTTTACCTTCTTCCTTTGCACGATATTTTCCTGCTACCACAACTTTACTCTCACTATCACTCGACATTTTTTTTAAAGATTTTTGATCTTTATTAAATTCACAGAGATTTTGAAATATACGTCCGAACTTCCCGACTTTCTCAGCGATACTGCTCAACAGCATATATAATACCCAAGTACTAAGCACGCAGTCACACGTTTGTATATATTGCATCACACGATTCTTAGAAACCGTGTTCACCAATCACTTCACTGGCAGAAGAAATTGAACTGTGTATTTACATATTTTGTAGGTTGCTATACAGCATTGTAGAGTAGTTCGAGAAACGGAAGTCGGGTTCTCGAAATTTTTGGGAATCTCGACTTTTTCGGAAAACCCGATTCCTTCGGGAATCTCGAAATTTTCGGAAACCCGATTCGTCCCGACCATCGGGTTTCCGATATTTTCGGGTTCTCGCACACCCCTAATTCTTAGATATCTAAATTCTTCAGATTCGTATGTTTGTGCAAACTCAACGTGTATTTCAAATGTATTCCAAATACAATATTTTAAGAATACGATCGAAGAAACTGCAATTAATATTAACAAACACATCATATACATACGTATATTTGAAATATTATATTATTATGTACTTATAATTGTATTTACATATTATAACAAGTATTATATTTTTACGCAGAAAGATCAAAGATTCCACGATCAAAATCAGAATATCATAAAATTACTTTTAACTCTTGAAACTTCTTGAAAATTCAGCCTTTTCGTTCGACCTTTTCACATCTCTCTCTCTCTCTCTCTCTCTCTCTCTCTCTCTCTCTTTCTCTCTCCGTTTTAAATCGTAACGATATTGTTTTCGTTTCGCGGGCAATCGATAAAACGGGAAGTCAATCGGCGATTGTTATTTCGTGATTAACTTGCAACTACAATGATCGATTCTTCTCTGTGCCTCGAGAGAGAGAGAAAGAAAGATGCGGTTTCTCGTTGACGATGTAAAAAGCGTCACGCGATCGTCAAGCGAAATTGCATCGCATCGGATGCATTAGGAATGAAATCGTGACTGAACGATCCTTCTCGAACGACTTCATACTGAATAACAAAATAAGTTGGCAGATTCCTTTTGGAAACAATACGAGAAATTCCTTTCAGAAATCAGCTCTTTGCAGGCCAGTGATTTCCTTTGTTGAAAGCTAACGTGTCTCGTCTGATTAATTTTTATAGGACGCTGGTGGATTACAGGTGGAGTATTGGGAAATCCTGACGTGAAAGAATGGATTAGAAGAGAGTGAAAGATCATAATCGAGAATAGAGATAAGTTTGTGGAAATATTCTTCGATATTCTGACGATATTCTGATTAATTGTTCGATCAATTGAAATTTCTAATCTTTCAAATTGCGAATGAAAAAATCCTCGACTCTCCAGATTTTTAATATTTCAATTTCACGATATTGCGTTCCTCTAAATGCTTCTCGATTATTCCACTTTACGAATTTTCCAGTGTCACACTTTTAATTCGCAGTTTATCAGAATCTCCCGTAATTTTTTAACTTCTTTGTTTCTCAAATTTCGTAAAAGCGCATCGATCATTCAATTTTTAATACCAGCAAATTTCACTTCACTTTTTCAGTGCCGCGAATTCTTTTCCAAACCTCGTCTCGTATTGTTTGGCTCCATAATACCGCGTTTAACCAACTTTTATGCATTATTTCACTGCTCCCTAATGGCTTGAAATAAGCGTAAAAAAAAAAAAAAAACAAGGTATCTCGCTTCTATTTTTCTTTTTTTGCTAAAAGTACAATAAAAACTTTTATCACTTGAATTCCTATTGTCTAAACGCTCACACTGTGTAGGAGATTTTAATGGCGTTCAGAAGCGAAACTTTAGATACTGTTTCTTCTTCGATCGTCTGTACAATGCGAACGAGAAAAAGAGATAGAGAGAGAAAGAGAGAAAAAAAGCCAGAAAAGAGAAGAAAAATATCGATATCTGTGCATGCGAGAAAGTTCTCGAATTCAATGGAAAATCGACTGGGGGGAGGCTGAAAAACTTGCGTGATTCCGGCCCGCCGGAAAAATATGGAACTCGTAATTCAAACCTTTACCTGAAACATTCCTTTTTCTCCTGTGGTATTACCATTTTGCTTTTCCTTCCTCTGTTGTTCGTTTCTTTCTTTTTTTTTCAAATTGCGTGAAAATCGATAGCCGACAAAAACAGGTATTACCCTGTCGTAAGACCGACTCCGAATCGAGTTTTCAACTTTTGATTGAATCTTCTTTTTTTCCTTTTCCCATTTTTTTAATTTCTCTCTCTCTCTTTTTTACCGTTTTCAATTGTTTTTGTTCTGGCTTTGATATTTTTTACAATATTCCTAGCGCCTAGGGAACGTGAAAAAAATAGTTTCTCTCACGTTGCTGATTTTTTTTAGAAATACCGCAGATATTTCACTGTTCCAAGAGTGTTGAAAGTATCTAATTGTCGTGACGAACGAGTGTACTGTTGCAGACTAGCTTTTTTCCCGTGAAATCTCTAAAGCATGATAATATAATTTGTTGATGTTAGGGTTGAAAACTGTTCAAGATAATTCTTCAGATAATGGAAATTATAGACAACTGAAATATGAAATTTGTGTCGAATAGTACAGTGAAATAATGCGATGCGAGGGTTTTATCCATATACGTATTTTACAAAAAGATTTTCTCCGTTTTAAATCTACAAAGTTTCAATAAAAAGTTGCGAATTGGTCATTTCGATCACCCAATAACTTTCTAAAATTGGAAATTTTCCCAATTGCACCAATTGAGTAATGTTAATTAATTTGACCCTTCTAATATTAAAATTCAGTTTCTCCTATGATTTTCTTAAGTTGAAAATTTCCCAGTTCCCAGTTGAAAAGTTGAAAATTTCTCTTTCTCCTAAATAACATTAATTACTTTTTCACAGTTTTCCTAACTCTGTTGCGACCCACTCTATATCCCTCTAAAATTAATTAGCTCGTTAACAAATATCTCAACTTTAAGCAGAATACGAAAAGCTTCTTAATGTACGTTACTCGTTTATCGATAAAGTTTTACGTCAAAGATATTTTAGAAAAATACTATAGATTCTTTCTGCTCGCTAAACCGAGTATAAGGCAGCAAATAGGCTGTGAAAATTCGGGGATCGTAGCGGGTTTAAATAAATAAATAAAGAAGAAAGAAATTGTTGGCGCGATAACCTCGACGATATCGGGGCCGGTATGGAAAATTAGCATCAAAGGAAACGAACACGAAAATTACCTCTCTCCGTTCGTTGTTTCGCGTAACGAACAGTCGCTAACACGACGTAGAACCAGGCCAATCCCTTTGTCCTGATCGTCGGTACCCTTCGTGGCGAGAGAAGAGGGCGAGGCTTGATTTGCGAGCGGCACAATTATTTCCACGCGGAAAACTCCACGCCGGTGGAATGGGTTTCCGATGGAAACAGAAGCAAATCACGGCTGCAGACACTGCAGAGGATTATACGGAAGCTGCTTTCATAAATTATGCGATTTATCTTAGAGCTCGCGGATGCTTTTTTAGAATAACGATGAGCTCGAGTAACTAGTTTCCGCCCTTCCTTCTTCGTATTTCTTTCTTTCTTTTTCCTTTTCCTTTCTGTCCACCCTCCCCGCTCCTCCTCCCTCGTCTCTCATTTTTCGCGTTCCGCGTCTTCGCGACAGCCGGATCAGCTACACGAACATCAATTTGCCACTCTACGAACCTCGCGAGGTATTTCCTTGACCACGCAGCGGGGAAATCGAATTTCCTTTTCCATTCGAGAGGCTCGTTTAACCACTTGCGCTGGCAACTGATTGCGGACCATAACGAGTGACCGAACCGTATACAATAATCCGTCGCTTTCTTTTTGAACTCGTCGGTATATCACTGGATAGAAATTATTAAGAATAAATTTAATATTATTATAATAATAAAGTAATAAATTAATTATTAAGAAGTAATAAATTTATTATTATTATAATAATGAAGTAATAAATTTATTATTATTATAATAATAAAGTAATAAATTATAATAATGAAGTAATAAATTTATTATTTGTTTTGCCTATTTTGTTTCACTTAAATATACTTAAAAAATATTACAATTTTGGAGCAAAAAATTCTCGACGTGCACGTCTTTCCAGCGCAAGAGGTTAAATCATTCGATTTGTTATCATCCGTTCCCATTATTTGTTTGATCATCTTCTATCAGGGTGTTAGACTTTGTGGAGAGGTGATTTTGTTCATATATATTAGTTGTTATATTTTGTCATATATATCGTAATTGGTTTTCATAGTGTTAGTTCGAAAGTCAATCAGTGTAAATGTCGCTTAGTCAGAAGCGATTTTAGTTATGCAAAATGTATGTACTTTTGTTGTCAAAACTGTTAAAATCAACAGTTTAGTTGTTATAATGTGATTACATGATAGTTACGATGTTGTAACTAGAGCGTTTCATTGATTTTTCTTTTAAACGAATTTCTTTAAAAACGAAATATAATACGATTGTGATAACTTACAATGAGATAAACTTTTCTACTGATTTTCTTCTGAATTTAGTTCGTATTGCGAATGAGAAATTTATAAATAAAAATGATTACTTATTCTCAATTCACTTAATTTTAGATTGCTAGTTATGTTACTATGACAATCATTTTAAAGAGTGAAAAAATGCAGTCCTCTTCCTCTCTATCCTTTTATGAACAATTACTTTGTTTCATAACCCTTCCCTATAACAATGAGAAAATAAATCTCGATTCCGTGGTAAAGAATATCAATTGAAATTTAAATTAAAAAAATCTACGATACAACAGATTCTGCAACCAAAATACGCAGTAATATTTCTTCATTTATTCAGTAACCAATCAATGAGCATTTCCACACTTTTAATTAAATATTACTGTTTCTCTTTCCCAAGCGTTTACCATTGACCGGCTCTTTCTTTATCGAGGTTTCTACCCTTTCAACCAGACCATCGAATTTATGTTGCCCGATGTAACTAATAGACCATCGATTTTTATGCCAATTCATATTATCACGGGGAAACGCGAATCGTGAATAGAAATTTCGTTCTTTACATATTATTTTAAACGTTTTGCACATTGTTTACGTAGAGAGAATTATCAGAAGTAGTACGGATAGAAATACGAGACAGTATTATTTCTGAGGCACGTAGAGCATATAATTGAAAGAATAAAAAAAAAAGTAAGTATATATATATATATAAATGAAGATGTTTTGGTCAAGTCAAAAACGTTAAATAAGTTAAAAAGTTTGAACGACGTGCAAGTCAAATATTTATTGAACGTTTGCAATTTTTTTTGGTTTTACAAGCCGTAGAAGTCTACGCACATAAAATTTTCAAATTGAACAAATATTTTCAATATTCTATTTCGGGAAATTACAATTTCATGCAGTACAATTTTACTGCAGTATTAGCAATTTATTGCGCGCGATTTTTTCAAGCGAATTTTGCTCTCTTTTTTTATACACATATATATATATATTCCGTTCTTGATTCAGAATATTCTAAATTCACGGATACTCTTCAATTTTCACTAAAATTTTAGCAAATATACGTAGATAGCACGTAGATAGCAAACGGTAATTACTCTTCTCGCATAACGAGCGTAATAAGACAAAAAAAAAAAAAAAAAAAAAAAAAACGATCGTTTCTTCAACGAAGAGTTAAATGAAAATTTCCTGAATTTTATACATTTCAGAATATTCCGAAATAAAAATAAAATAAAATGAAATGAAATGAAATAAAATAAAAATAAAAAAAAAAAAAAAATAGCAGTGAGGCGCAAAAATTCGTCGTACACAGTTAATAGATGAAAGATGTCACTACTCCGTGCAAACATACTCCCTACAAATCAAAGTCTTGGCGTCTCTTACAATTTCTGCTCTATCTCGTATTCCTATCCTCTCCTCCGTCACTCTCCACATTTCCCTACGCGTTAAATTTTTTCCGCAACCTTTGCGCGAACGGTCGAAGCCTATTGAATCTCGAGAGATGAACCTGAAGAAATTTCCAGTCCGGGGGATACTCGAAAGACACGACCACCGCGCACAAATGCCTCGAAGCACTACTTGCCAACCAGCAAGAATGTCCAGTTTGCCAGGTTTATATAAACTCCGTGAATTAGCAACAATTGGTCCTTTTACATAATTGTGCGCCGGCTGCGGACTAGAAATAGCGTGGCGAGGATCCCACGACGACGACGCGCGAATTTCTTTAGGCTGAAACGCGAAACCATTCTGAGCCCGAGCGTATCGTCGTCGACAATTAGCCAGGCTAATTGAAAGTAGGCCGGCTGAGAATGAAGATTTATTGTGTCCAGTCCTCTGGACGCTAACGATGCGCCAAGACGAGTGGAGTTCGCTCTGTTACGACGAACGTAACGACCGGGAGGGAAGGTCAACGAGGCGAGACGCTGGAAATAACACGCGCGATGTCGGATGAGACGCAGGTTTAGGACGAAAAGATGCTTCTGTGAAAGAAGGAGCGACTCGTTTATATCTCTTGGTTGAAAGGAAGGAGGGTTGTCAGGAAGTCGAAGTAAAAATCCAAAACTGATGATCGTTGCGATTCTCGAACTTTTCTGTCGCAGCTTCATTCCCATTTCGACGGATAGGAAACAACTTTGGCGTTTCATTGTTTAACCTCTTGCCACGCACGTCGAGAATTTTTTATCCCAATATTGCAATATTTTCTCAATTCTAAGTACATTTAAGTAAAGCGAAACAGGCAAAATAAATAGTAAACTTATTAATTCTCAATAACTTCTATCCAGTGATATATCGTACCGACGGAAAGGGAAAGCGACGAATTATTGTATACGGTTTGGTCACTCGTTATGGTCCGCAATCAGTTGCCAGCGCAAGTGGTTGAATTCAATTCTCTAGTGTTGAGAGGTATCGTATTTGGGATCAGGACTGGAGACTTAATTTTCCACATCAATTCCTGACGACTCTTTTCACTAATTTATCGTCATTACTTGGTAGTGAATTTGGAAAAATGGAATGACACTCGAATCCATCGTTTCTAATAGTAAAGTCGTGTTTCATAACAGTGATATCGAAATTTCAAATATATTCTCGTGTATGTACGTTTTTGAGAAGTGTCAGAGTGTTTATTCGCATAAAAAAAAAAGAATGTTCGTCTCTTTGAAGAGAAGATGCTAGAAAATTCGAAACGGACGAGAATCCTCGTTAGAATCTTTCGTTTTTTCATCTGTAATTTTGTATGCACGTTATATTCGTTTGTTTTATCATTCTAATATCAGGAAATTCATTTCGCATGCAAATTCATGCAATTTTGTTTATTATGTTTATTCTGCTTGCCTTACGTAAGATTACGTGAAGTAACATATGATTTCGGTAAATGCTTGTTCTTTGATTTCACAGTTGTGTTTGAATTCTCAAGAAAGAGCTAATGTGCCGTTGCCCTACTTAAATTTTTTTTTCTTATAGCTGTTTACTTAAATTGAGATATAGTCGTTAGTATCGGTTTTTTCTTTAAATTTTCAGTAAAATATAAGAGGAAGAAAGATGCTATAATATGTACATTACAAAGCATACTAAATACATACTTGTTATATAATATATTATTTTAATACTTATTCAAGACATAAATCTCACGAGTCCACAAAATCAATTTAAATTGCAGTCTCAAATTTTTAACTATTCCAAGGTTTCTTCTCGTAATATACTGTATTATATTTGTAAAATAAGTATTTTCCAAAATTCTAACATTGTAAGGATTTTCCTGTGACTATTGAAGATATAGAACCTAAACAGAAATTGTATATTATACCGACTACTATGTCTTCGATATTTTTCATACATATCTTTTACGTCACGCATTTTTGAATCCTCAAATTCCTCGCAAATGCACAAAAATTCTAATTCAAATTATTTTAATTACAAGAACGACTTCGCGTCTCTCGGTAAATGAATTCTCTTTCGATTAAGAAAACTTGGATAAATTTTAAAACACTATACAACAAGTGTACACGATCTTCTTCTTCTTCTTCGAGTACTTTACGCTCCAAAATTACTTCGTATCAAAAATTGTCAAATGATATTTTCTTTCGGCGATCTCGTTTTTTTTTTTCTCTTCCCTTTGGAGCCTCTATTTCGCGAATTTCAGCAGAGGCTTTTCATTTTTTTATTTTAAATTCTCTTGACTGGTCCCCGCAGTCGCGCCACCGGTTTACCGGAAGCGAGATTGAATCGGGGCAATCGAGCGGTGGCCATCGAACGGTCTTTCATCCGCCAACGGTCCGCTGCTAATTATATTTGAACCGCGGCCTCAAATGCAGAGATTCGACAAGAGTGTGTTTTCGACGTTTGTCAACGAGCCACGAAAATGAAAAAAGGTGAACACCTTTGTTGCTCCAGGTTTATCGTTCTGTTTCGTCCGCGCGAGATATTTTCTCCTGTAATCTGTGTTCCTCTTCTTCGATTTCATCCCGCACAGATAATTAATATATATTAATGAACGTGAGGATAAATATTGAAAATGGTAATAAATAAGAAAGAAATAATAAAGGAAATGTATTATTATATTTCTGATATTGCGCGGTGCAAATAATTTTTGGAGTCTGAAAACTGTGGAGATTTTTTTTTTTTTACATTCTTTTTAATAGATAAATTGTTTCAAATTCTTTCAAATGGATTGTTATTAACCTTCGTACTTTAAATGTAATACTATATGCAGTTTTATTTCAAATACTACAGTAATTCTTTTAAATGAAATACGATGCAATTTTATTTATAAATATATTTATAAGTATAATTTAATTACTACCAAAGATTTTTCGTTAATTTGTGCTTATCATCAAGTGCATTATTTAGCTCGTTTTGTTTCTGTTTTTGTCTTGTTACGTTTATAATTATAGGATAAAGCAATGTAATGTACAGTTAGAGGTAGTCAGCCTAGTTTAGTTATTTTCAATCACTTAAAATTAGTTCCAGTACTTTTGGGAAAAAGAGGGAATTGTAATCTAATGACAACATTGTAACTGTGTACAAAACACCGGAAGTCTCATCCGAAGCTGAAAGGCAAGGATCAGAAATAAATAATATAAGTATAATTTAGGATATATTAGTTTGTTAAAACACAATTGCACAAACACAGGGCCAAATATTTAATCGGATATTTCTGTTGAAGAAATTGAAGATAGAAATGAATTTGCGAGATGAGAGTTATGTTCAAGAAAATTGTTTAAAGGGAGCACGACCAAATATAAATCTTTCGCAGTTCCTTCCCTCTGTCGGTAGTTGTCAAATATTTCTTAAATTAATTGCAACAAAAGTTCAGCTTCTTTGAAGACTTGAAGGTTGTTCAACTCTTTAAAGAAGCATGACAAATAATTATCCTTTCCCTGTTCGCCTTGATCGGTTTGTTTCTGAAGAAACTCGTTCCTAAATTTGTTTCTCAAAGTCGTGTTTCGCTCTCAAGAGAACCGAAATGGAAGCTCCTCGATCCTCCCAACGTGAAGGAACGTTTGCTTGCAGAGGGAAAAAGAAGAAGAGAAAAGAGAAGAGAGAGGGGAAGGAAATTAATGAAATTCCTAGCGACGTAGAATGCTTTTCTAAATGCAGCGCCATTGGGAATAGGTGAATTATAAAAGGGCCCCTTTTAGACGCTTTTAACAAGCGGAGGAAAAGAATGGAGCTGTATCTCGCGTGTTGCGAGAAATCCTTCTAAGAATGATTGCGAGAGTGGAAAGGTTTCCTCGCTGCGAAACGAAGGGATTCTCGAGGTGAAGGAACACTGCTGCAGGATGCTCGTGTGACGATGCTTCTTTACATATTCATCGCCAACTGTGCAGACATCTTGTTTGAACTAGGGGATTCATTGGATTTAACGTTTAACGTTTAAATGTTTTATTTTTTCACACATTTGTTTTATTTTTTCACAGCACAGTGTTAAAAATCTTGTTTTCTCATCTTGATTGATTGGAGATTTCTTGAAATTGTAAATTTCGTAATATAATGATAAGGATAGGTGATTAAAAAGTGAGGATAGGATATTAGCTATTTCGTATTATTAAATTTTTATTTTTTATTTTTACTTTATATTATTGAATTTTTATTTTTCATTTTTTATTTTTACTTTATATTATTAAATTTTCATTTCTCATTTTTTATTTTTACTTTATATTATTAAATTTTTATTTTTCAGTTTTTTATTTTTACTTTATATTATTAAATTTTCATTTTTCATTTTTTTATTTTTACTTTATATTACGTTCGTATTCTAGTTCTTTTGTTAGAGCACAAATGTTAATTTAATACAAAAGAAATTGGGATAAGAATATAATAAACAAGATAATCAAATTTTCTTTTCAATTATTCATTATTGTAGACTGAGAATTTTCATACGTCAATTGCAATTTAAAGATATAAAAACGTACAGAACAATTGTTGTAATTTCTAACAGATAAAGAATCTAAGGAATCTAAGATTCTAACGAATCTTTATTCAAATTTATTATAATATTTTTATGTTTATTTATAACATATTTATATGTTATTAATAATTAATTTAAATATTATTTATATATTTATTTATAAATTCACAAGGAATCTAAGAATCTAACGAATCTTTATTCAAAGTTTTATTTCCTTCCGCAGTCTGATTGTTGAAATTTCGCTATTTATTGACTCTTTTTATTAATAAAGAAATTCTATGAAATTTTACGATATTCTACGATGCAAAAGTTTGCTGGTATAAGAAAAATAGATAAACAATTCATTTGCAATTAAACACTTACTGAACCAAATTTCATGAAATTTTCTCAAGCTCTACGAAATTTTCAGGAAAGTTTTTTACGAACACGCGACAGAAAAAACAACAAGTTTGCAAATTCTTTAATTAAACCCAATTTTAATTAAATTAATTAAATACCAACCATTCTCGAAGTTAGTAAGTTACAAGTATCGACTTAGCTATTACAAAAAGTAAAAAATAATAAACAAAATTTTATTATTTTTTTTAGCGACGATACATTTACGAGACAGAATTGTCTGAGCATGGGGAACGTTTTCTATTATTCAGTCGGGGTGATTGCGATCTCGACATACGGTTAGTTATACCAGGTATAAT